GACGCAAAATATTTATAACAATGCAATTTAAGTGTGCTGGAATTAGGTCCTCGATTGGGGTCCTGTGATGCTGTGAGGCCAGACGCCGGAAAATGATGCAATTATTATTCTACGCTTGCCTCCCAGGTGGAAGAAGAAGACACTGGTAGTATCACTGTTTAACAATCCCAGTCGGTGCAGCGAAAACAATTACAGTCGTTTTTGGCTTGAGTGGGCCCCGCAGTTACCTTTTTTGATGTCATCCTACAGTAACGCGTCATATGCGAAGCCGACGCTCACACATCACGGCGGTGACTAGGAGGTCTCTAAAATATTAAAGCTCCCCCCTCTTGCAAATGGCAACGCACCAATCAAGACAGGGAATATCGGCTGGGCTGCCCTAGTATGATGGGTGCATCAGATACCTTCCACATATGGACAAAGAGACGGCGTCAAACGACCGGACTTTGACCCTCGAACTGGAAAAGGAGGGTAAAATAATGTGAGCAACTGTGAAAATCACCGTGGCATCAGAATAGTGGATGCTGCAACAGTCGTCATCGCTGCAATCATCGCCCTGAGAAGATGATCCCTTTCAGACGTGACATTGGCTGAAACCTTGACACCCTCGAAGGTGCCGGGCCGTCATCGAGGAGCGGACCAACTGACCTCAACTAGGAGGTTAAGTCGAACTACTCTATTCTAAATGTGGTGACCTGCAATGAACTGTTAGAAATTCGAACAAAACTGTTAAATCCATTGGCCTGACAGTTAAGATTATGGCAATTAAGGTTATCAAAAGTTGTTGTCCTGATGGAAACTGACCCTGCACCCTTACAGCCTTTAAACCGGAAAGGTGGGCTAGTACAAGCATTTTGAGGCCGTATTTCTCATTAAAGGTCAGCATAAAGATAAATTAGCATATTGAGCTAGTTGCGGCATTGTCAAATGGTACTAATTCAGAATTTTTGAAGGTTACTTGAAGGAAAGACAATGGTAAACAATGCCATTGCACAACTGACTGACAGCAGGCTGAAGATGAAAAAAAACTAAAACGCAAAGTAGCAATCTACCAGAAAGTAACATTGCGTACGAACTTGACATAATGCGAAAGCCCATTTTTATTTGAAGCGCGAACGTGGAATTAACACGGTCAGGAAATGTGTCGTCACGCAGGATGGAACCACTGATCTCCCAGCTTTGCGTAAGGTAACCCCCTCTGACATGGCGACGCCTGTCAGTTGTGTCAATGGTGGATTGTTCCACAGTTTTGATGCTCACAGGGAGAATATTTCGCAGCTTGAGTGGCATTCCTGTTGGCTTTTAGGGCAAACCTAACCTGGTGGTGCGCGCTTTTTGGTTGTATGAATGTCTCTTTAGTCAAATCTTTCGTCAAACCTATTTGCATGGTATGCGCTCATTGCGGGCGGCATATGGCCCTTGCTTTGTAACCCGCGTTTCAGATAAGACGTTAATTCACGTTGGCGTGATTAGCAAGTAGCTACCCGTACACTGGAGTTTACCCTCAAAATCCTCTGTCGTCTAATAAAACAACACACAGTTGCATATGAACTTATGATTTGTTCTCCATACTTTCCCTTCGTATGTCGCTATGGACAATTTCTAAAGTGCCATGGGATCACCAGGCAAGTGGTTTCTGTTGATCCAACAGTGAACCATTGGATTTTAT